GAACTAGGAAGAACCTTAAAACTTGTCCAATTCCTTCATTTTAACTGCTGAGAAACTGAGACCCAGGGCAGTTAACTGAGCAGCAAGGAGGCACACTAGTCATTAGCAAGAGACCCAAACTCAGTGCTGGTGCGACTACATTTTCAACTTTTGTTTTACCAGAATTTTACCTCCAAATGTCTTCAATGGATTTCAAATTTATTCTAGCATTTCACAGCGTGAACATGAAAGATTAGGATAGCATGCTCTCTGTTGTCAATCTCTTCTTCCTAGTCTTCTCTTTCTGGGGTCACAGGGAGGACGATGACTCTGCAGAGAGCACAGGTGTGCAGCTTTACAGACGCAGGCTGCCAGGTGACTGACTCCAATTCTTCAGTCACTAACATCATAGTTTGAATTACTTTCATCAAATATCAGGGCTGCCTTCCTGCTGATCACCACTAGAGACCAGGGTACTGACAACCTGGGAGACTTAAGTATGGGGTAATTCTGAAGCAGAAAGCAGGATGGGGGGGGGGGCGTAGCTGAGTGGAAAAGCTTTAGGCAGAGAAAGGAGGAAGAGAGTGAACAGAAATCAGAGGTGAGCGAAGGGCCATTATAACAAAGGCATCTATGTAACAGTTCTGCCTTGGGCAACTCTGTTAGTTCCAAAGCCTACATCTGCTTTCAGGCTTCCCATAAAACTCCCCCCAGAGATGAAGACCTTCAAAATCAGAGAAGATGTGGCTCTATCCTAGAACTGTCAATGCTAACACTCTGCAACTCTTTGAAGATCTCCACAATTCCACAGGTTTTGCTACATGCTAATCCACAGAAAATACTGAATTTGCCTCTGTACACTGTACAGAATTATACCAAGCTGTCAGGGAAGCAGGCCCAAGTCCCTTTATTTCTCTTTTACCTCCTACTATGAAACTGCAGAGAAAGTCCCTGGGTGCTTTTTGTTGCCTGGCAGCCAAAATGTGCAACTTCTGGAAGTGTTCAAGTACAATCCAGAGGCCCAGGCTCACTACCCCAATAGGGTCCGGTCCCAGTTTCCTAGTCCCTGACTCTCAAAGTCAAGAAGTTTAGAGTTCAGATAAAATCAAAACACCTCACTCAGAAATGTCACTACCCATCACTCTTAAACACTCCCAGCTGGGAGGGGAGGGTGGGGAATAAAAAGCAAAGCAAGAAAATAATTTCATCTTCATATATCTGTAGCAGTGTTTGTGGGGAGGGGGTGACTGCTCACAGAAATAGTGTAGAATCGCTGGCAAAAAATAATAATAAGTCCTGTGAATGACTGCATATGATATTTATTCACGTGTCCCTCATTATCTTTATCAGTTCTGAGGACAGATGGCATGCTGACACAGAGTGGTCTCCAATCCCTTCCATTCCCTTTTGCAAAATCTGTATGACCAATGCAAGATACTCCTATAGAAAATAAAAAAAAAAACAGCCTGGTAATTGTGTGGTAGAAAAAAAAATACAAAGAGCTGTATTGATAACTATTCTCACAGATGTATATGTTTACAGCAAATGGGCAAAATTAAAGGGAATCAACATAAATACACCGTGTGTTCTGACAGCTGTGGATTGTTATTGATCGCGCCTTTGCATGATTGTTTTGTTCACACTGAACCTACAAAGAACAGCAACTTGGAGAACCCCCCCAGACAGCCACCATCTTTACTTCCCATAGGGCAGGGGGAGTGCCCAGTGAGGATGGGCTGGGATGGCGAGGCAAAATAGCACGGTCCTCGAACCGTTTCACCCTGGTCCTAGCGCACGCTTTGTCTGGTTGCTGAACACGTTTGTGAGATGAAGGAAAGGAATCCAAACAAAACAAAAGAGCAGGCGTCCCAGCCTCATTACAATAGGTGTCCGGCACATGGTAGCGCCAGCAGAGCATCTTGCGTTCACTCTTGCGTTCAATCATCGGCTCTGTCCGTATCCCCAATAAAACGTGTCTCGCACCCCTTCTCCTTTGCATTTCCCCCCAAAACGGCCCGCTCGGATGTCACTCCTTTAAAAAAGGAGGACGAGGGTGAGAGGCACGAACACACGGAAACAAACGTTGACGGGGCTCTTATTATCCAGACAGACACAGAGAAATAAATCCATCCACCGCACGCGCCCGCTGGCCAGTCCATTACGCGAAAGGAGCGCTTTCCAGCCGAAGGGGACGAGCTCGCAGGAAACGGTATGTACGTGCGCATTACAGAGCCATACACCGCGGCATCTGCATCCGACACAAAGCCCGAGATGGTGCAAGAAGATGCGCGCCGCGCTCGGCACCGGCCGGCCGCCGCCACACCGAGCCGAGCCCTGGTCCAATCAGAGTCTTGTTAGGAGATGGACCTCGGGGTCGGCTCTGCCCGAGCGGCCCTCCCTGTTATGACACCGCGCTCTGCCCAACATCCATGCCTCACCGGGAGCACCTCTAATTCGTGTGGTTGCTCATTTCTCAAACTGCCGAGCCCTTTCTTTCATCTGCATCCCCTGGTCGTCCCTCAAAAAGCCACCCCCAGGCCTGAGTGCTCCCTCTCCGGCTCGGTTTTTCTTTTTACCGCTTCCCGTTCCTAGAAAGGATGAAATGTTTCTCCAGCGCGCAAGCTGGAGAGGCGGCAGGCAATGCCTCCCTCTCCCGGCTTCAGCACGCGCCCAAGGGGCTGCGAAAAGTAAAGGCAGCGAGCCACGCGGGGGGCGTGGGGGGGGGGAAGGAGGGGAGGGGGGTCGTCGCGAATCGATCGGCCACAAATAGTTGAAATCCCGACGCGCGCCAACTTACCCAAAATATGACATTGAAGCCAAATATGAAATATTTGATGCAACAACTGACTTCAGGACCCTTGTAGTGCTTCCCGGACATCCTCTGGGCTCATGAAGGCACTTGCCCGGCAGCCCGAGTTTGGAGCCCGGGCGCGCTGGTGCTCGGAGCGGCCGGCGGGGAGTGGGGCTCGGGGCCGCCGCTGGGGGCCGCGGCCGCG